TCAGGTGCTGATAACAGCTTGCATTTTGTGAATCAAAGAAGAGAAGCTGAGAGCATCATAAACAGCACAAGGAAAAGATAAATGCCACCAGATGTTTGTTTTTCTAAGTCTTTGATCGGAACACTGATAAAAATAGTCACTAAAATGACTTGAAGAAATTATACTAAACTCTTACTGAAATTTTCCTTGGTTTCCTTTACTAACCGTTTCTAAATTGGTATTCCAGGACTAGTAGTGTATTTATTTTATTAAGAGCTTATATAGAAGTATAAATATTATCCAAGGTATAGATGTTTAGTAAGGTGATAAATGACTTCCCCCAGAAGTGCGTGCAAATTAAATTAACATTGAGAGGGAGGTTCTTTATCAAAAGAATCCCACACAATCTAGGCTTTCTTCCCTGCTGAGAGCGCTAATTTATATTTTCTTAGCGAGAAAACTATGAGAAGGTCTCTCTTAAGACTCGGTTTTCTATTTATTAATTTCTTTCACTGATTCTAGGAATACTTTAAAAACAACTGTGCATTATGGTTACAGTATGTTCAAGCTGTTTAATGTAATGTCAGACAATATGTGTCACATTAGAAAGAGAATCCCTTTCTAGTGTTAGGCATTGTCTCCCTAGGTAAGGCATCAAAGAACAAGGTAAGGCAAGTATTTATTGCAGCCTCAGAGGCCCAGTGATTGGATAGAATTCTTTTGGTCAGCAACAGACACAGAGAATTAATGTTATTTTTTTCAAGGATTTTATTTAGAAAGCATTTTGGGTGAACACATTCAAGAAAATATTTAATATTAACAATGGCTGTTTATGACTTTTCTCTCGATTCACATGAGCTCAACAACTCAGGACAAAAGTACCAGCACTTCTCTGCTGTCAAATGTAACTTATAGTATAGCTGGTAAGTAAAGACACTCACGTTAAATGACTTATCGATGTTTCCATGCCCACAACTCCAATTTGTAAGCTGCTTTTCTTCTAAAAATTAATTTGTAGCTTTAACTAGTGTTAGGGTAGGGTAGCACTGCTATACTACTAGTTGTGTTATCTTGGACAAAAACTTCATTTCTCTGAGTTTAATTCTTCATGTAAAAAATAGAGCTAATTTCTAACTTACAGGGTTATTTTGATGATTTAATAAGATAGTGAATGCAAAATATTTAGTACACTTTCTGGCAAACAATAGATGTTAAATGGAATGTACCTGACAAAGGCCAATTTGAGCCATTTAAAAAATTGAAAACCAATTTTAAATGTGTTAATATCAAGTTCTGGAATCAAGAATATGCAGGTTATTTTTTCAAGTAAGCTTCTTACTGAAGTATCAATACATAGCAAAGTACACAGTAGTAAGTGTACTGCTCAATAAGTGTTTAAAATATAGACCCAAGTAGCCAAATTAAAAGATATGACATTACCAGTATTTCAAAAGCCCATTCTTCTGTTTTCTTTCAGGCACTACCCCATTCTGAAAGGTTTTCAATATTTTCACTTCTAACACCATAGACTCATTTTCCCCATTTTTTAACTTTCTATATGTGAAATATACAGCATGTATTCTCTGTCTACCTTCTTGCACTTCAAAATTATGTCTTGAGATTAATCTCTGTTATGTATCACAGTATCTCATTTTTTAATCACCATTGTATAAATATATCACAATTTATTTCTCATTTTATTGTTGATGGGTTTTTGGCACTTTACTGGATAATGCTACTATAAAAATTCCTAACAAAGTAATAGTATAGGATAATTCTACTATGAAGATTCTCTGTACAGACTTTTTAATTCATATATGTATGCATTTCCATTGGGTGTAAGTTCTGTTGTAAATGGAACTGCTGGGTTATAAGATATACATATGTTTATTTTCAATTCTATACCAGGAAAAAGTAAGCAAAGACAACTAGGATAGCTATTTTAATATCAAGCAAAGTAGACCTTACAACAAAAAAACTTTATTTGTAATTTTTTAAAAGATCACTATATAAAGATAAAGAGTCCAATTAGTAAATGTGGCTTAAAATTTTTAAATTTGTACACAAATATATGGAAAGATATTCTGGATTTATGGTTGCATAAAACTCCCCTGTGAAACCATCCAGACATGGGCTTTTGTATGTTGGGAGTTTTTTTTATTACTGCTTCAGTTTTGTCAGCTATTGGCCTATTCAGGTTTTCTGATTCTTCCCGATTCCGTTTTGGAAGATTGTATGTTTCTAGGAATTTGTCCTTTTCGCTCAGGTTGTCAGGTACGTGTTCATAGTATTTTCTTACAATCCTTGTACTTCTGTGGTGTCCATTGTTCCATCACCACAAGGGTGTAGCGACTGCCTTTCTCTCAAAACCACCTGGATAGCGAAGGCCTGCAGGAGAAAGATGTCCTCCACAGCGTGAGGGAAAGGCTCCGCACAAGAAACCAGGGTGGCTGCCCTCTGAGCTCCAGCCCCAGAGCCCCCAGTCCTGGACACTCCTCCCTCTGCCAGAGCCCAAGGTGAATGGCTGTGTTGGCCCTTTAAGAGGGTGCCTGTATTTCCAGCTGTCTCTTCCTGGCGGACAGCAACCCTGCTGCCTTTCACAGCCAGATGTTATGTGGGCGCCTTTCTCAGTTCTGGTGCTCTGGGCTGGGGAGCCCAGCTTGGGGTTTGGACTTCATAGGTCTCAGTGGGACCCGCCCCTTCAGCTGAGACGTCCCTCTGGACCTTCCGCTGCTTACTGTGGGAGCCTGGCCAGCCCTTCCGCATCTTCACACTTCCTACCAGACTCTATCAGTCTCCATTCTCTGTCCTTGGTTCTTCAGATTTTCTCCAGCTAGTGTTCAGTTGATTTTCCAGGGTGGTTTTCCTGTATTTTAGTTGTATTTCCAGTCTGGTCCTGAGAGAGAAACACCAAAAGTGCTTTATTCAAAGTAATGTCCATCGCTAGATACACATTTCCCTCATCTTTCAGGTATTTTATGGATAACGTTCCAATAGAACTTTTCTTGTTTTGAGGCAAACCATCCAGAGACCCAATATGAGTGACAGTGGAAATAGCCATTGTAAGTTTATATAACAGATTATTTTAAAAACTCTCAAAAGGTAAGTAAATTCTGAAAGGGAAAGTTATTTTAGTCAAGTACTTTGCTTAAAAATAACAAGTGTATGAAAACATTAGCTATGCCTCGAGACTGTTATCACTGTTAACGATAACATGAGAACTTATCTCCCACAGGTACCATCAGCTTTGTTACTCTACTCGTTGTCTTTGCCAACATTACTTTTGGTTTAAAAAATAAAGAAAGAAAGAAAAGAAAAAAAGCACCTGAAAACCTTGAAACCAGATGATCTTTCCTACATGATTCTAAGACAAAACACATTGTTCAATGTTCCATTAATAATGGGAAGGACCTTTAATAATAATGTCAGTGCATTGACAACATTGTCAGATGGTTTGTTCTAGTTCTGAACACACAGGAAAAATACACTGTGTCATTGGTGCTCTCCGGTGCTCTTTTCAAAACCTTTAAAAGCCTGGCACCGTGTGAAATCTTTAGCACTTAATGGAAAAGTTTCACTTTTTGAGAAACCGACTTACGTGAACTAATGTTTTTTTGTTAGCAAATAGAACACCCACAAAATTTTTTAAATGAAGTCAAGTTTCTTAGAACTATATTTTATAGAATAATTCTTTGAAAGTGATGGTTTATTTATTTCACTGCAAACTGTTGAAATGACAATTCAGGACATTGGATGAAAGATGCTATTTGAAACACCACACACACACACACACACACACACACACACACACATACAACTGTCATGAGCATAATCTTGGTACTGCTGACACAGAGATGATTTCAGCAGAATGATCATAAAAGCAGGAGCCAATACAAGCCATAGTTTCCAGAATAATCTCTAAATTCTTACATTCAGATTTTAGAATACAATTTAAGTACATATAGGAGCCACTTGAAATAATTTGTTATTTTATTTCCAAATAAAGTTGCTATTGTTATTATTATTTGCATACACTTTATCGAGGGTCTAGTATGAGCTAGGAATCAACTAAGTGCCTTATATAGACTTTCTTTGATTTGCACAGTAGTCCTGTAATTCTCTGATGAGGAAATGAAAGGTCAGAGAAATTAACTGACCTGCCCAAGGAGAATCCATTCTGAAGGCAATGAGAAGCTACCACTCATGTGACCTGTTGTAGAGTCTCTTAAAACAATTCAGAGAAATTAACTGACCTGCCCAAGGTCGCATTGCTGGGAAGTGGCAGCGCTGGCCTCCCAACCTGAGACTGGCCACTCCAAAAGTCTCTTTAATGACCTATGCATCCTCCCATGGTTCTGACGTGTAAACCTTAGCTTCTTGTCTGGATTGGAAATCAGGTTAAACTGTAATTTTTAAAACAATCTTCAGAGAAAAGGATGGTTTCATATCACTGGTTGCATTATTTAAAAATGGGGCAGCTAATCAATATGTAACAAACTGGCGTTTTAATTTTTTACCATCATGCTCCCCAGCAGTCTTCCTTCCCTCTCTTCATACAATATTTTTGTTTGTTTGTTAATCCCCACCAGAGGGTATTTTTTTCATTGTTTTTTTGGGGGGAGTGGAAGGGAGGACAGAAGGATGGAGAAAGAGAGAGGAACGTCAATGTGCAAGAGACACATCTATTGGTTGCCTCCCGCATGCACCGCGACTGGGTAGGGGATGGAACCTGCAACCCAGGTACGTGCCCTTGACTGGGAATGGTACCCATGACCCTCCAGTACCTAGGTCGATGCTCTAACCACTGAACTTGCCAGCCAGACCTTCATACACTATTTTTGCCCCCATCACCTTTTACTTGCACCTAGTACGTTTCCCTATTTCAGTCCACTGAGTCACCCATCAGCCCAGCTAAGAGTATAAAAACCCTACCACTTTGGGAGTGGAGCCCTTGAAGGTCACCAAACAGACCACTGAAGTCCAAGGCCAGGGTGCCAGCTAGAGTCAGAGTTTGGCGGGAGTCATATTTCCGTTTTCTTCCTCGGCAAGTAGGAGCTAGAGATCTGGCGCACGATCACCAGGGCTGGATAGAGGGGCTGCGCCAGGCACAGGTACCAGGCCTCGCCTTTGATCTGGGCCTGGAACCACACCGAGTACATGCCTAGGACCACCGTCACAGTAGCCATCAGGTAGACCACCAGTCCACATGTCAGATGGTAGAGCTTGAGGCGAGCCACCCTTGAGATCCTGGCTGCCCCAGAGGAAGAGCAGGCAGAGCCCACACA